AATTGTACATATGTCATTAGATCGATTCGACAATATCTATTCATATGTATGTACGTACATCGCCTTTAATGAAAGATCAACACGTTCCATATAAACTGAGTACGATATTTAATGCAAGCGAACAAAACAAAATCTCTCAAAAGATAAATAGAATTTGAAACTATACTATACAAATGATATTTTACACCTATTATTATTACAACATATTGTTGACCTATATATGTGGATCATTGAATTCATATATTTAATCATTTCTTTTGATTATCATATTGACACATTTATATAATGAAAATAAGTATGTAAGGTGATTGTAACCTTCTATTTATTTTTAATTGCTTCTACTCATACTCGTTTATTATTAAACGATCGATCAACTACAAAACGATGAAAAGAAAAAAGAAGAAGAAAGACATAAAGAAAATGATAAATAGTCTAAAGATAGATGTATGAGAAAAGATATAGCATTAGTCGGAATGCCTTGTTCTCGTTGGTTCATGTTAGCTATATATATATATACATAGACACGTTAATTTAGTTGAACCTCATGACCGCTGTCCTTCTTTTTCTTTTTCTATTCTGAATAAAAATTGCTTGAACCGAACATAACTTATGACCACACGCGTTCATCGGTCGAAAGAGACGAAGAAAAAAGAGAAGAGAAAGAAAAAGAAGAAAAGAAAAGACAGAAATTGGTAGTGCCGCATCTATCGACGTAAAAAGTAAAAGGAGCAGAAAAAAAAAGAGTGTTGATTGTGGATGTAAATGTGCGATCGACAGCTGCGCCTATGTATATAGATGAACGTTTCTATAGTGGGTCGCAAAAAAAAAAGAGTAACATTTATTTCTAACTAACTTGGCCTAGACAAGGATAGAGATGTTATCCTAAATATCATCAAAACAAGTAAAAAAAGTTTTTTTTTCTTTTAATTTCTATCATATGTCATAGGTTAAATCTAAGAAGACGAAGAGAATTCTGTGAGAAAAGGAAGAAGCTTTACATTATCAAATGAGAAAAAAAATTGATTGTGCATTGGCTCGTACATTCCTTAGGGCATCAGAATAGATTGCGTCGCCGTTATATCTCGAGTGGCTAAAGCATTTCTAAAAGCTTGTTGAATAAAGGTGAACAATCGATTAACAAACAGATGAATGGATATAAAAATTCAATGATTTCCCAATATGTTGAGCTGATCATTTAATTCTATTCTAATATATATTTAATTTCAGATATTTCAATCTATGGATCGATACGAATTTGAAATCCATAGTCAAGTATCAACATCTCATTCTCTTTCAACAACAACATCAACATCATTAGCATTAATTCCAACAATAATTAATCCTGAATGGATATCAATGATTGAATATTTTCTTTATTATGCATATCCAATTGTAATATTAAGTGGAATATTTTTTTCTTTATTAACATTAATTGCATTAATACAAAATGTTTATATGACATCAAAACCATATTTATTTACTCAAACAATATTTGATATATTGTTTTTATTACTTGGTATTTGTCTTTACATACCAAAATATGATCCAAATTTAATACCAAAATTTTTCAATGAAAAAATTTATTATAATTTTCTTTTCTATATTCTATGGTTTATTATAATATGGTTATTTTTAATAAGTTGTCTTGATCATACATGTACATCAATACAATCGAATGGTTATAATGAAAAACTTTTTTGTACACCATGTAATTCAAAAAATACAATTATTGGAATTATTCTTTTAGGTATTATTTTTTCATTACCACAATTATTTGCATGGGAATCCTATGAAACAAAATATCGTTCAACATATTTACGTTCATCATTTTTATATGAACATATTTACTTTTGGTTTTTACATATTATTTATTTATTTATACCATTATTTGCTATATTTGTTTTCATGGGTACTTTATTATATACATTATGTAAAAAAAAAGAACATTATTTATTAACATCAAATGGTGGTGGTCATTATGGACATTATACAATACATTATGCAAATCCACATGAAAGTTCTATACATTATTCAAAAACACGTGAACGTGAAAATATAACAAAATTATTTGTATTTATGTGTTTTCTTTATCTTATATTTGTATTACCATATTCATTTATTATCTTTTTTGGTAAATTATTTTTACGTGAACAAACAACATTAATATCAAAAACAATATTTAATGAAATTATAATTGCATATGATTTATCATTATTATTATTTTATATACAAATATTAATGAAATTTTTTGTTTTAACAATATTTAGTAGAAATTTTCGTTTATGTTTAAAAAAAATGATAACATGTCAATGCTGTTGTTGTTGTTGCTGTTGTTGTTCGGAATCGTCTTCAATCGAATCAAATGAACATAATCAGGATGATGGTATATATATGAAATAATAACCTAGTCAATAGAATGAAAGAATGTATGTTGTTCTTGTTGGTTTTTCTTTTGTTTGTATTGTGTTTCAAATTAGATGACAAAAAAAAAAGGAAATTTTGTGTTTATTTCATCCTTCTTTGTTGTTTGATTTAAATATATATTCAATAATTTAAGTTTATCTATTGAATAAATAACGACAAAGAAAATTTTACTTTTGTCTAACGATGCACTAATTCCTAAAATGTAATGTCAATGATGATATTTTTTTCCGTTATAAGAATGTAATTTCCGTGGATTGGTTATATTAACCATGATTAGTTCTTTTCCTCTATCCAAAGCACTAGTCGAAATTCATGGAATACAAAACAAACGTTTCGAAATTGGTCAAAAATTCGCATTTTTTAGTTTTTTTTTTCGACCAATTCCAACTAATTTTGAGATATATGTTTTGCATTAGACAAAAAAGCATAAGATTTAGCTTCAGAGAGACCATTTAAAACTGAACACAACTAGTATGAGGAAACGCTAGGCGTCTGGTTATTCTCAATACCTAGCATCTGTTTTTATAAGCAGTGATAAACCAATTCGTACCAATTCCCTGAATTTTTGATCGGAGTTTAGACTGTTTCCAGTATTGAGAATTATCAGACTCGTAGCATTTCCTTATGCTAGTTGTGTTCAGTTTTGAGTGATTTTTCTAAATCTATTCTTGGATTTTATTTAATGCAAAGCACCGGTCTAAAAATCAGTTGGAATTAGTGAAAAAAAAAAACTAAAAAATACGAATTTTTTACCAGTTGCGAAACATTTGTTCAGTATTTCATCAGCTTCGACTAGTGCTTCGGATAGAGGAAAAAAACTAATCATGGATTGATATAAACAATCCACAGAAACTGCATTCTTAATAATGAAAAATCGTCAACTCTGACACCATGTTCTAGGAATTCGTTCAGCTCTACTTTAGTCTATATTGAATGTCAAACATTTTCATCTATTATTATAATAATTGTTAAATATGCTTGAGAGAATAAAATAGGTAATAGTTACATGAAACATTTATGCAATCTAGTCATGAAACAACGAAATATTTATTTAAATATGCATTTTGTCATATAACATTTTTTGGTAGATTGAGTTCAACCAGACATATGATTATTAAAGAGAACTCTATCGACTTGATTTTATGTAAACTATGTATGATAGAGAAAGTCTATCTGAAGAAAACAGCGAAAAATTTGAGGATCGTTAAGTGATGAAATTGGCTCCTTCTCAAAATCAAGTTTCACATTATCCCAATCGTTAATTCGGGTGTCAAGAGTCGATTGCCGTTCAAATTAGTCTGTTAATAGAGTAATAAGAAGATAGGTACAGTAGTATATAGTCATAAACGATCACATATGGACTCCATATTCATTGAACTGAATAGTGAAAACGTTTTTTCTTTCTTTTTTGCCGACTACTTAAATGAATATTTGATAAGTTGAAGTATTCTTATGTGTTGTCATCAAAGACAACAAAATATCTTTATTTGTGTGATAACTTCTCACTGATAACGATAAAATTAATGGATAAGGTGCATTGAGTAGAAACTCATTACAATCATTTTATTAACTATAGTATTTATTTTATAATATATATATACTAGACTTTTGATGACCATGAAGGATTATTCTAACATTGTTGCAATCTATTTCAACATTATTTTTCTCTATTTGTACAAGATATTAAAGCTTTTCAGGTTTACACGATATCACAAGCATGTACTTCGGATACTAAAAAAAAAAATTGACAGATTTTATGCTTGTAATTATTCTTTATCGAGCTACTAATTTTCGAAGGTAAATTACTCTTGATAAACATTCTTGTTCTCACTTTTTAAATTTTGAAAGCATAATAAAGAATGAAGAGAAAAATATTTCTTTGAAATACTAGTTGAACATGTGGAAAGAAGATTGCTTTAGATAAAAACTTAAATACTGCTTAGAGGGACAATATACGATAACTTTATTATCTGTATGCAATATGGAGTCATCCAAAGAGAACGTCCAGCCAAAACCGAACAAGTCCGAATTGTGAAGAAGAAGAGTTTAAAAATCTGATTTTTTTTAACCAGACACCCCTTATGAATGTCTCCTATAACTATTTGTATTATATACTATTTAATATATGTGTATTACTAAGCATCACGTTCAACTCGGACAATATCAATAATATTCAATTCACTATTATATGATTGATTCTTTCAATGTTCGTGTATTGAATGATAACTAGCGTTCTATTATGCTATCCATATTATTTTGTGTAGTAAACTAATAGAATGTCTTGTTGTATTTCATCTTTTCCATAAAAAAGTTTTATTTAATAAATGCTCACATATATATATATTACAGCTACAATTTATAAGTGTTTGATTCTATGTAGCAAAAAAATCTAGTTTGATCAATTTTATTAATTAATAGACATGCATGTTCTCTTTAATAAATTATATTGAACATATGTAAGGTGTAAAGAAAGTAAAATGTGATTAAGGATAGAATGCAACAAATGAAAAGAGACGACAGTTAATTGAATAGTGTGCAATAAAAAAATTTGGAAGAGAAAATGAAATGCTTTCCATTTATGAATGTTTTGTTGGTAGATGTTCTCGAAGTAATTCAATTTCAGCTGAAACTGTATCATGAAATAATGTGTCAAATGTATCAGCATTATTTTCATTGGATGATGATTTAAGTTTACCAATAATTTCTATAATACCTTCATGTTCAAAATCTTTTAAACGTTTATCTTCAAGTTGTTCACGTGATGCTTTTTGACGTGCAGAATATAATGGATGAATACGGTGTGATGTTATTTCAACTGGTGTTGAAACTGTTAATGGACCTAATTCAACTTTATCTGTGAATATAAATGGTTTAAATAATGATGTTTTTGGATTTGGTGTTCCAGTAAAAAAATGACATGCATTTAATTGAGATGTTTTTTTATTTGTTGGTAATAGTACAGATACTTGTGAGGCTGTTGTTATACAATCATCACCATCACCTAACATGCATATACCTGATTGATCATCACGTAAAATTGATATCATATCAAAAACTGAAAAATTGCCATTTTTAGTTAAATTTTCAAGTAATTTTTGTCCTGCTTTTAATCGACTATGACCACATGCAGATGAAGTTTGAAATGTTTCAGCAAAATTTAATTTCTCTTTTCCATTCCATAATTTTTTATCTTTAGCAAAAGTTTCTAAATTATTTGATTGAATTGT